CTCGCCCCAGTAGGGGAGGATAATGTTGACGGGTTAGCACCCGTTGGTAGTTAACTTACGCAACCACCCCCCTACCGCGCGCTCACGTGCTCACGCGCGCTCATGAAGTTCTCCCACGCCTCCTCGCGATTCCGCCCCACAATCGCGCACATCTTAACACCCTAACGATTCTTCCGCCCCGCGCTCCCCCAGAGCGCGACCTCCGATATTTCTTCCGCTCCGATCCCCTTGCCTATAAGAACCCCCTCGTACGACCCCTTCTTCTGATCTTCTTTCTCTTTCTTTCCTTAATCGATTCGTAAACTGTTATCAGGATAGTGTCAAGTCCGTTGATATTGCCGTTGGAACGGATCGTACGAACTGCGCAGGCGGTACGAACGGTTTAATCTGCAACATCGGTAACATCTGCTTAATCGGTGGCACGCCCGTTACAATTGTATATCTTCTGAACTTAAACTATTCTCATTGTACTGCTGTATATACAGTCACTTTGAAGAAGTATATATCAACTACAAATGATATAATCATACAGTATACTGCTCTCTTCACAGCTCTGTAAATCAGTCTGATATATATAATGATTTTTATAATAGACAGTCATCACAGCTATAAGTATCAGCAGCAGATGATGTGAATTATAATACTCAGTCTGATACACAGAATAATCTCATTCTTATTAAATAGAGTATATATAAAGCTTTCATTTTTCTGTTCTGTTCTATTCTGTTCTCTCTCTTTGATCTTCATTTCTTCATTATTATTATAGATGTATATATATTATTATTATAGAGTTAGATTTAGTCATACAGACTGTGTACAACACTCAGACAGTTGACTTGTACTTCTATACAGTATCTAAGATTAGTAGCTCTTTAGTAGAGATGAAGTCAAGCAGATTATTTAGCTAGTGATTATATAACTTTCTATATACAAAGTCACATGTATCTGAATTTAATAGTATTTCTCTTACTAAATACAAGTATTCTGTACATATGAACATAAAATTGAACACACATCAGCAATAATCAGATTATATGCAGTGGCATTGATGGCTGAGTGACTGCACCTCCGCATATAACCTGGTTATTGTGAGGGTTGGGTTTGAACACGCCGTAACCCGACCCACCTATAACTATGACGTATTATGGAAGTCGACTGACCTGCACGTTGCCTCCACCCGGTTAGTTCCGAGGCCGGATAAACCCAGCGCCGGAACCGTCCGCCACCTCGAAATCATCATCATCATAATCCCAGCCTCCGCTGTCACATTTTGGAGCCATATCTTAACTTCACACGCCCGACATTCTTAGCATCCTTCATCTCTCATTCTTCCCCTCCTGCAGGCGCTGGCAGGGATCGGTAGGATCCGTCGCGGAGCATTTCAGATTTTCCGGCAAGTTTGAAGCGGAGCTAACGCCGATCCAACACCGGCCCCTCCTCCTTCATCTCTTGACACCCGAACTGC